TTTTTTTTTGTTTTTTTTTTGAAATGTGCGAAACAGTTTTATTCGTGCATCAAAAAAATTTCAAAGGTCTGGAGCACCACATTCATATGTAACAAAAACACAAAAGCGATTTCTTCCAAGGCTCCTATGCAGAACTTGGGCACCATCATGGCGGCCAATAAATGAGCGCCACCGCCGTTACTACCGCATCAGAATACGACCTATTGGACGCGGATCAAGCCGGGCTGATGCGGTGGAGCCGTCGGAGCACGCTGACGTAGCGGCGGGTTTGCCAACCTACAGGAGACCATGGTGCCTTAAGGCTCCGAAGCGCACTCGACCCGCACGCTTGCCTGAACGCGCCCGCCGTCGTGAAACTTACCAAGAGAGACGTGATCCTGCGGCTCGGGCTCGTGCATCTTGCTTCTCATGGCCCGCTTGGGGTGGCGTGGGGCCGGGGGGGCCGCGGGGGCCGCGGAAGTCCTAGGCTCGTGGGCGACGCCTGCAATGAGAGATGGCTACAGGGCTCCAGGGAATGCGGAGAGCCTTAAGGCTCCGATCGCGTATGCTACCCTCCCACAGGCTGCATGCAATTCACCTGCTAGCCGCCGCGAAACTTACAGTGGACGGCGCCAACATGCAGCTCCGGCTCCGGCGTCTTCCGGCTTACGGCCCGCCGAACGGTGCGGAGAGCCATGGGCTCGGGGGTGCTGAGCGCTGGGTTCCTGAGCACAGGCGTGCTAAGCCCGGGGGTGCTGTGCCCAGGGGTGCTGAGCTTGGGGGTTCTGAGTCCGGGGGTGCTGAGTCCGGGGGTGCTGTCCCCGGGGGTGCTGAGCCCGGGGATGCTAAGCCCGGGGGTGCTGAGCCCGGGGGTGCTGAGCCCGGGGGTGCTGACCTCGGGGGTGCCGACATCGGAGGTGCTGACATCGGAGGTGCTGACCTCCGGGGTGCTGAGCAAGGGAGTGCTGAGACCAGGGGTGCTGGGCTCGGAGATCCTGGGCACGTGTCTGGCGCCTGTAAGAGTAGATACAAATGAAAATCGGACTAATATCTCCAGGAAATTCCTTCGTGGGGAGCACGACTGCTTTTAATTAGGGAATGACTGCGAGTGTGTCCGAACTCTCAATCGTGTCGCTACGAATCGGTCGGAATGACAAAGGGGCGGGGCTGATCAGCGGGGAGGGCAACCTGCAACCATCCCTCGCTACAGGACGTCGCGAACCGCGATAAAATTACGTCGTCGATACAGGCCGGTCACGGTCGATCCGACCGATTCGTAGTGATTCTATTGAGATTCGGACACACTCTCAAGGTACTTTAATCCCTACGTCGAAAGGGGGAAGGGGGAGTGCAGGCAACAGATCCCTTTACCCCCCTCCCCCCCACTTTGTACCGCCTTGGACGCCTGCATGTAGGCAAAAAGAGTGGACACAAATAAAGGCCTCTAAAGCTTACCCTCGCGGGGCAGGTCAGGGGATGGGCGTGGAGGACGTCCATGTTCCTCGGCATGGTTCACTAGAGATGGGAACGCCGCTTCCTCTCCGGAAGCCTCGTCCTGCTGCTGAGGTGGCTGCGGACGCTCTGGAGCAGGGAGCTTCCGGCACATGAAAAACGAGGGTCTTGTGGTCCACCCTGAAAAATAAACCAAAACAATGACATTTCAGGTTCAGAAATCAGATCATTCTGTTGAACAGTGATTCTGTACAACAGTGATTCTGTACGGGGAGGTTACGCGAAAAGAGGAGCTATAAGGTCGTGTCGCTGGCGGGGTGGTGTAGCGTAGCGCTTTGGCGGCCGCCTTACAGCAGATGAGTGGCGAGCGGCTGCCCATAAGAGGTTAGGTTGCGTGCCATTACAGTTCCGTCAGATTACAGTATCTAGTAGTTGTGCATCTATCTATACACTATGGCATCATATTTACCACCACAGGAGGCTTATTGCGACACTTGAGTCACTGTCACCGAATTAAAATTGTATCAATGTGGTAGGTATCCGAACACTGACTAGGATACCGGGACGGTTTCGAAAATTTTGTTTTGGGATCGATCTAGTTGTACACTGACACAGAAATGTCAGTGTCTAAATAGGAGTGTATGTTGTTGCTTAGTTAGGGTCTCACTTCACGAGTGCATACAAATTTGTCTAATGCAAAGCTGCAAATGACAACAAAGAGAGGTTATGCCGTCATCGACCACACGAAGAACACTTGTTATCACTCACCGCAGCGCCGTATGGCTTCATAGTTGCCCTTTGATTTCTGATGTGACTTTTTCTCTTCAATGGTCAATTCCTTCCACTCTGAGGTGGTGAAAAACACTTCAATATCTTCATATTCCCTATCGTCAGCCTGCCCGCTCGACATGGTGGTCAGCACCGTTGGCTGCGCTAGAGCCGTCTGTGGTCGCGAGGGGAGTGGGGAGTGGGGGGGGGCGGGGCGCCGGCTGGGTAGTGGTCTGCTGTCGCGACGCATCCCCCAGCATGCGCACGACTGAAAAAGCACCTTGTCTAATTGTGTAACTGAGTTCAACCGGTCAGCTAGCTTCTACTGCCAGCCGAGCAATGACCATCCTTGTCCCGGGTCTGGGAGTCCTTTCCCTCTTTATATCCGTAACTGCCCGCCCCCTGCTGCTTATGCAGCTCACCCTACAGGCGGCGAGAGCGTTCGCACAAGTGTCAGTCTGGCAGTGGTAGTGTCTATCAGTTGAGTGAGTCTGTGAGCGTTGTTATGGCTGGACAGTGTTGCGATAAAAGTTAGACAAAAATTCACACGTATACACCTGTGAGGAGTGGGCTGCATCTACGCCTGCCTACTAGGCAAAATTTCTACACACGCGTACTGAGACATTGCCAGCTGCTCCACACAGGTGTATTGGTGCAAATTTTTGCCTAACTTAAATCGCAACACTGGATTCGGCAGTGGCGCGCCGATGGGCCGGCCGGAGGAGACAAAAGGCAGCGTGGGTATTCCGCCGTACAACGAAAACCGCGGCTCGATCGTCAACTCAGATTTGGTTCGGGCCCAGCGTGCACAAGGCAATACAGAAGTTCAAGCAGTTCAAGTTTTTGTTTTTCTACAGATTTATTGTTGGGTAAACTACACGTAGTGCAAATGAAATAACAATCAAGCCAAAGCGGCGACGGCAAAATCAAAAGAGGGAAATAAATCACAAAATTCTAAAAAAATACAAAGTAATTTAAGAAGAACAACAGACTACAGAGATTAAAAAGAAACAGTTAAAACCCCGACTTTAAATAACTCAGAAATACATGAAATAATTCGGTGTCGGGCTTGACTATTACATTTCATGCCTTTTTCGTTTCATTCCTATTACATTGCATTCCTATTACATTTCATTTCAATTACATTTCATATGGCAACGATTCATGTGCCCGCGGATCACTTTATTTTAAGACAGTGGGGAGGGACCAGGATCCATTGCATGCAAAATATCTGAGCCGTGTATATGACTGCAAGATGGGTACCATGAGGGAAGCCTTTGCAAATACAGTAGTATGGTAGGCGAGGGGTTTAACACTGGTGTTCTCTTATGTGTCTTACTAGAGAAAACGCCTTTGAGTAAGCTGCCCGAAAAGTCTGACAATTACATGGCTTAGCAGCTCTGTGAGTAAACCTTTCACCACATGCCTGGTACTTTGTACGGATTTTCACTCGTGCGAGTCCCGAGGTGATTCCACAAGTGTAAGAGGAGCTTCGTTCTTTGAATAAATCTTTCGCCGCATGTCTGACACTTGAAATGTTTAGCAGATTTGTGAATTCTCATGTGCGCGTGCAGGTTGGCACTGTCGGTGAAACCTTTGTCGCAAGTCTTGTATACGTAAGGTTTTCCACCTGTGTGAGTCTTCAGATGTCTGCGATGCGAGAAGCTTTGAGTGAATCCTTTGCCGCAAGTCTGGCACTTGTAAGGTTTCTCACCTGTGTGAGTCCTTATGTGTTGACGGAGGTGGCCACTTTGAAAGAAACGTTGCCCGCAAGTCTG